GATAATTTGTTTTTGTTTTTTAATTTGCTAGAAGGCATGTGTGTAGACCAGAGACAGACAAAGAGAGGAAGAGAGATGGAGAAAGCACCTCTGAATGGGACATGGTCATGCCACAATCCCTCCATTTCTTCATCCTGTCAGGATTTTGGAAACATCTGCACATGATCCTGGCATTTTTTGTTGTTGTTGTTTTTTGTTTTTGGAGAGGTTTTCGCTATAGGGCATGTGCGCTCGCCAGACAGACAGAGAGAGACAGACAGAAAGTGAGAAATCACCCCCCAGGGGGGATGGCCACGCCGCAATCCCTTCTCCTCCATTCTTCTCTCGGGATCTTGGGCACACACGCACACACGCCCGGAGTGAGTTTTAGGCCACCTGGTCCGGGACGTGAACCGCGGTCGACTACGTGGGAGTCCAGCGACATAGCCATTACACTAACTGGTGGTCCCTATCCTGGCATGTTTTGCAAGCTGTTGGATTCAAGACTATAATGGCATGATCATGAGGGATCTGGTTGCCTTAACCAGCAGGCCATAGGCTGTCTCTCCTTGTTTTATTTTAATGCCAGAGAGCACAGGCGTGTGCATGAGAGAAGGAGGAGAGAGAGAGAGAGAGGGGCCCTCTCAGTAGGGCCTGATCATGCTGCAATCCTTTTTCCTCTGATTCTCTATCCTATCAGGATCCTAGGTCCACATACCCAGTATTTTCCAAGCCAGTGGGGCTGGGAATCAAACCCTGGTTGGTAATGTGAGATCCATCTTCCTTCTCGCAGTACTTAACTGCTGTGCTACAGGGCCAGCCCTCATAAGGAAATGAGTTGTCTACTGTATGGACCTGCACTTGAGATCTTTCTGTTGTTTCTCCTTTCTTTCTAATGCTCTAAATTTCCTTCTTTCGTAATTTCCTTTCTGTTTGATGAAACTTCTTTAGCCAGTCTTATTATGATAGGTCTGCTGGTCACAAAATCTTTTCATTTTCATTCATCTGTGAATATTCTTATCTTCCCTTCATTCCATCAAAACAGTTTAGCCAGATATAGAGTTATGAATGACAGTTCTTTTCTTTCAGCACTTAAAAAACTTTTGGTCACCTTCTTATATATGGTTTCAGATGAGAAATTTATTTGAATTGGTACTCCAATTGGTACTGACCTCTTTTAGGATTTTGTCTTTAGTTTTCTTATTTCTTATTATTTTTTATATTACATTAATCACATATATCTTTACATTGTATAACTTCTCTTTTTCTAGCACGATTACCATACATATCAGTCAAGAGAAAGACATTACTATATAGATCAGCAGCAGCAAATAGCTTTTCATTTTTTTCCAGATTCTTTATCTTTTATTTTTATTATTCTTTTTTTTAAACATTAATTACTATACATTATTTAACTTGTAAAGAGAATTTACCCAACATGAAATACTTCTCAGATCAGCCCATTTGAGAATACTGTACATGTTATCATTAACAGGTAAGAAACCATTTCTGTGTCCCACAAATGTCATGCCTCTCTATTTTTTTCTCCCTTCAGTTTTCAAAAGTTTGGTTATAGTATGTTTTGGCATAGATTTGGGAGGTTTTATTTCTTTTTCTCTATTTGATATTCATTCAGTTCTTTGGATTTCTAGGCTGATGTCTTTCATCAAATTTGGGAAATTTTCAGTTATTATTTCTTCAAATACTCTTTCATCCCAGTTCTCTTTCTCCTCTACTTTCTGGGATTCCAATGGCATGAACAATGCATATTTTGTTATTGTCCCACAGGTTCCTGGAGACCATTTTTCTAGCCCCTTTTCTTTCTTTCCTTCCTTCCTTCCTTCCTTCCTTCCTTCTTCTCTCTTTCTTTCTTTTTCTTCTTTTTTTTTTTAAAGAAATTTTTGCCTCAGACGGAGACAGTGAAAAAGAAAGTGAGAATCCCTTCTCCTCCATTCTCCACCTAGCATCTTTGGCACACATACACACGGCATGATGTTCAAGCCACCAGGTCCAGGACTCGAACCATGGTCAACTGTGTGGGAGTTCAGTGATGTAACTGCTATGCTGTCTGCTGACCCATCTAGTCTCTTTTCTATTTTTTGAAATAAATAGGTTTTATCATTCTGTTCTCAAGGTCACAGATTCTATGCTTCACCATCTCGACCATCTAGCTTGTCCAGTAAGTTTTAAATTTGTTATTGCACTTTGCAGTGCTGTAATATCACTTGCTTTTATTTTTAGTACAACTTCTATTTCTCTTCTGAGATTTTCTACTTTTTCATTTGTGAAAGTGAATTTTTAGTTAGTTGTTGCATTTTTATTATATCTATTTTAAAATTCTTATCAGATAATTTCAACATCTGTTTCATTTCAGGGTATCGGTTGATTTCCTTTTTTTTTTTTTTTAAGAACTATTTAATTTAATTTATTATTATTTTTTAATTTGACCAGAGAGAGAGAAGAGGGAATCTGAGACAACAGGCTGCCAGTTCGGGACACAAGTCACCATGCTGCCTGCTGGCCCCGATTTCCTTTCTCTTTAGGTTGTGATGCTGGTTCTTGATTTGTATTCTGGACATTCTGCCTGTTGTGTTAGGAGACTATGAATCCTATTTAAATATTTTGTTTTAAATAAAAGAGTCACTCTGTTTACACGTAGCATACAGGTCTTAGCCTATTTTTGTGGGCTGGGATTCCAACGGTAGTTTAATTTTCAGAGCCCTTGTAGCATAGTTTTTTTCTGCTTGGTTTATCTGAAGCTGCTGGTGGCTTCCACTGGTTTCTTGATGCTGCTGCAGGGAGCAGGAGGAATTTGCCTTGGCCAGGTTGCCAAATATCTCTTGCTGAGGGAGGGGCACAGAAGCATCCTCTTGCTGGTTTCCCCCACAGCCCAGGTTTCTCTGGGCCAAGGTGGAGAGTCTTGGTTCCACAAATATCAAGAGACTTCTGGGACCAGCCTGCTAGCTGTGATAGATCTTTTACTGATTCTACTAGTCATATTTAGTGTTTCTGGGTAGAGGAGGAGAATCTCTGGCTTTTGGAGGGGAAGAGGCTTATCTGACTGAGCCACCTGCTTTATCTGGCTCTCTCTCTAACTGGATCCTCCTGCCCACTTCAATATATCTCCTCAAAAAGAAGAGTCTCTGGCTCAGGAGAGAGTGCTTTGCCTGACCGCTTATTTTTGTTAGGACTTAACAGGTCCTCTTGCCTGAAGTTGCCAGAGAGATTCCGTTAGATCCAAGGGGAAGAATGAGCTAGTGGCCTACCTTCGGCTGTCAGGTTTGAGGTCAGGAAAGGCCTTCTGTTGGTTAGGGGAGTCTAGATGTGCTATGTCTGTGCTATTCTTCTTGAGCTTGGTTCCCATACCAGTTCACCTTCTCTTTAGCACCCTTAAAAGCTCTTTTTCAGTTGTCTCTTGTGCCATACCCAGGACTTACAAAGTTGTGCATAGCAGGGAAGAGCAGGGAGTTATGCCATTTTGTCCTGATCAGAAGTCTCTTACCTACCAAATTTTATCTCTACATTATCTGTTAAAATCTTATTGTTGGGGCATGCAGGTCGTTTGGTGGTTAAAGCTCTGAATTCACACATGGCTGACTGCAGTTTGAGTCCTGGGCTCAGCGTCTGGAAAATCATGCATGCATGCATGCCCAAAATCCAGAGAGGAGAGTGGAGGGGAAGGAACTGTGGCATTGCCATCATCCCTGGAGGGTGATTTCTTACTTTCCCTCTCTCTCTCTGTCTCTCTGACAGAGAGACATGTACCCTATGGCTAAAATCTAGATGTTTTACTAGTTTAGACCCAGTTACATATAGATATCAAAAATCCCAGAGATACCTTTGCCAATGGAAGCATTTCACTTATTTTCTCCTCCTGTAATTAAATTAATAAGACTATGGAAAATGGATGTGCCCACGCAACAGAATCTAAATTGAGCTGAAGGCCATACATGTGAGGATACGGTTGAGGAATGCGCACGTGCACGCACACACACTCTTACCTCAAACCACCTCCTTCCACTCTGCTCAGGAAGGGCCTCTACATCAAACACAATGGATTCATGAAACCTCCAAAAGGCTGGAAGAAGTGGGAGGGAATGATAGATTCATTATAGGGAGGGCACAGCTGTTTCTTTCTGGGCCTCTCTGATTAGCAAAACCTGCCTGAATGCTTCTCCTCAGGAAATTTCAACTCTGAAAGGCTCGGTTGTGCCAAGAGAATGTAAACCAGATTGGCCTGGCTCTTCTCTGCTCCTTAGGGGAAGAAGGTTTAGTTCAATCAAGTACCCCAGAGTAAAAAAGCAGATATTTATTTGGGACAAAATCCTCAGCGCAGTACATTTTATTTGTTTCATATTAGTTATATACTCTGACTCCCAGGAAGCATTTAAAGTTGATGATAATGTCTCTGATTTGCCTAATGTGCACTGTACTCATGGTGGGAAACCATGTTATACACTGGAAAGATATACAGTAATAAAAGTGTGAATAAATAAATATTAAGAAAAATAATTTTATAAAAAGGTTTATTTATTGGTGGGGGCTGGGGGTGCTCTTGACACTCACAGTGCTGCAATCCTCCCCACTGTCCAACCCACCCTTCAGCCTCCCAGGAATCCAGGACTGCTGGCATATCTGGCACATTCAGCTTGACCCAGGATCTGAACCCATGGCCCACCCATGTGGCTCCACTATCACATGCGGTACCCTACCACCTTCATAACCATGGCTGGGCCTGAAAGTGATTGCAATGGATATATAATTAAAATATATAAATTAAATATAGGGGAAAATGAGTAAGAGGAAAGCAAGGGACAGGAATAAGGCTGGTGTAAAATTGCTCCCTGCAGGCCAGCTGATAAAAAGGTGAAGACAGCTGGATCCCACAGGGCCAACTCCACAGTTCAAGTCTAAGACCCAGTGGCTTGAAAAACACACCAGACACGTGTGCATGCATACCCCAAATCTCAAGAGAATGAAGGAGAAGGGATTATGGTGTGGCTGCCCTCCATCCTCCAGAAGATGCTTTCTCTCATTCCCTCTTTGTCTCTCTCTCTCTCTCTCCAGCGAGTACACATGCTCTATAGCAAATTTGTAAGAACAAAATTGCTCTATGTGATTTTCTGCACTTAATAACCCATGGGAGGGCAGGTGGCTAGAGTGTTCCATGTGCCCTCTCTGACTGGACCCTTAAGAATGCTCAGGACTGAGCACAGTGGCGGCAGGGTGAACCCCTAACATGAAAGGACCCTTAAGGTATGCGATAGAAACAGACAAGTTCCCATGAAAATGTCCCAATAATACTCCACAGACTTCCTGTTCCTAAAACATGTTTGAGTCATCTTAAAGATTCCCAAGTTCTCACTCTGAGAACAGCCAGGGTCCTGAGCAGTATAACCTAAACACTCAGGTTACTAAGTTCTTGAGAGATTGCACTCCTGTTAGGGTTTATTAAAAGTCAGAGACTATGTCAATATGCAGAGAGAAGGTTCCAAGGCTAAACCCATAGTTGTTAATTCCCCACACTCTGTAAAATTCTTCTATTTGATTCTCAGAATCTAAGTCAAAACGGTTAAATACGAACTTGCAGAGTCCTTCCCAAATCAACTGGAAAGCTAGGATTCGGATGACACACGGAAGTTGAGAGGCAGCCATGGAGATGATGCTGTACCTGGTCACTAAATGACCACACTTCTTCCGCTATGCGAGCTCTCTCTCTCCTAGGGAATAGGACAAAAACAAGCGCAGTCAGTCAGGATCTGTTGTCTGTACATACAGCACACAAAGTGCACTCGAGTCTGGTACAAGTCCTGAGTGAGGGATGCCTTCTGGGACGGCAGATCTGAAGTCACTCAAAACAAGTGACCCTTCATGAAGCCATTCTCTCCCCCCAGGTTTAGGTTTCTCTTTTCTCCCTCTTCCACACCTCCCTCAAACACTTTTAATTTCTGAAGATTTCTTACAGCCTTATTCACTTTGCCTCTTACTATTTTTGAACGTCTAGACTACAATTTAGAAAAAAAAATAGGTACCTGTGTCCACTCATCAGCCCATCCCTACTACCCATTTATGAAGGTCCAGTCCTCGCTTTCCTATTTGTATCTCCGGGATCGTTCCTTCCCAGCCGTTTTCTATAATGTTCAGCATCACACATTAATATTTCTCATTGTTAATGACTCCTTTCTCTCTAAATTCAGTGGCTTTTCTTCAGAAGTTATTTAACCTGTTCTTTGGGCTTTTCTCACTTGATAAGGGTAAGGACTATGGTTTATAGGTCTCACACTTCTTTATGTAGCGTAAGGGATACTTTTACTTAAATTTTGAATACTTAAGTTGTCCATGAAGGTGATCTTCCTCACCTTATCTGAAATAAGGTCTTTGTCCTAAAACACATTATTCAAAATGCATCATTTCACCTTACTCTAAAAATATCTGTTCCCAATTTATCATGGAAGTTAATTCTGGGGGGAGGGGGGTAACAGTGGTTGTTTTCTTTTTTTTTTTTTTTTTTGCTATAGAGCACATGTGCTCATCAGACAGACAGAGGGAGAAAGAGAGAGCAAGCGAGAAGCATGACCATGACAGTGACCATGTCCTTCTCTTCCACTCTCTTCTTGGGATTTTGGCCATGTATACACACATACCTGGCTCAGTTTTCTTTTTCTTTTCTTCTTCTTCTTTTTTTTTTTTTTTTGGAGAGTCTTTTGCTATAGGGCACGTGCACTCGCCAGAAAGACAGGAAGAGACAGAGAGACAGAAAGCAAGAAATCACCCTGCACAGTGGGGTATGGCCACGCCACAATCCCTTCTCCTCCATTCTCTTCTCAGGATCTTGGGCACGTATGCACACATGCCTGGTGTGAGTTTAAGCCACCAGGTCCGGGACTTGAATCACGGTCAACTACGTGAGAGTTCAGAGACAGCCATTATGACAACTGCTGGTCCCACACCTGGCATGATTTTCAAGCCACTGGGTCTGGGACTCAAACTACACAGTCAGCCACATGGGATCCCACTACCTTAACCACTATGTCACCTGGCTGGCCTGGGTGTGTGTGTGTGTCATGATTTCTAATCAAAATGCTGTGGAATGAATATTCTGACACGAAGGAAAATAATGAAATGGAGCAAAGGGAACTTGTCTGGAGCTGGTTAAAGGGAAACCTAGACATGATCAAAATGTAGACAATTAACTGAAAGTAGATGAACTATCCTGGTATTAAACATTTTATTAAATCAAAAAGTTAAGAGAAGAAAAAAGCTGGAATTAGCCACAGAAAGTCTGGTTTAGCTTGGAGAGAGAAGAATGCAGTGATTCTCTCTTGCATTAGAACAGGTGTGTACAGGCCAAGTTTGGAACAAGCCAGAAATGCCTTAATGCTTCCTATTAAGGTAAGATCGGAAAGAAAGAGAATCAATTTGAAGGAAGAAAAGGAACAGAAGAGCTATTCAGTAAGTGATCATTCGAGTTAAAAGCTTAAAGTTTTGTGGGACCACCAGTTGGCGCAATGGCTGTGTCGCTGGACTCCCATGTAGTCGACCGCGGTTCAAGTCCCGGACTCAGTGGCTTAAACTCACGCCGAGTGCATGTGCGTGTGTGCCCACGAACCCGAGAGGAGAATGGAGGAGAAGGGATTGCAACATGGCCATCCTCCCTGGGGGGTAATTTCTCACTTTCTGTCTCTGTCTTTCTGGAGAGTGCATGTGCCCTATAGCAAAAATCTCTCTCTCAAAAATAAATAAATAAATAAATAAATAAAGCTTAAAGTTTTTGTTTCCTGTATGTATTGGAGCTACAGTGGTGTGAAAAGACCACCAAATCTGAACTAAGAAGCTCTGGCCTAGAGTCCTGGTTCAAGAGTCAGTTGAGAGATCCCTCAACATAATTCTGATGTTCTCATGGGCACTGTGCAGAGAACAGTTCTCGTATATCTCAGGGTCCTGTGAGGATAGTTGCTGTGGAAGCTCTTACCCTTTAGTATCTATTTGTTAAACATTATCCTTGAGAGAGAAGGTTATATGTAAGCCAAAAATTTTTTAAATTAATTTATATTTTTTGAATACTTACTAAAGTTTTTTTTTTTTTTT